CGAGCAGTCATACACGGAGCTCGCGGAGTTCACGGCACTGAAAATAAGGCTGTGCAGCACGGACTGAGATAAAGCTCTTGGCAGCTAGGAACTGACCCCACAGGAGCCCGACATAAACGGAGTCAGAAAGAGCCCCAGCCTACCGCGACACAGAAAACGCACAAACACAGCGATGCAAAACTGCCAGGTCTTAGCACCAACCCTCGGACAAGGTAACCTGGCAACCGGCAAAGACATGCGGAACGGACTAACCCTAGGCCGGCGAGCGACAGCTGCGATACCAACAGGTTATCAAAGACCGGGGATGTCGCAACGGATTGCAGATCCAGCGAGAAACCGGGACCTATTCCGCGCCAAAGGTACTACTCGAATTTAGTCCCAAATCCAGCGGGGTTGGAACCAGCGGTACCACCGGATACCAAGCAAGTGAAAACGCTCCGATATCACGAGAAACCAAACGCAGGTTAACACAAAGCGACGAAAAACCAACTACCTGCGCGGTGCCGAAGGAGCGCACACACGACAAATCCCTACCTATTCGCTCCACATAACTGCATAACTGCTCCCCTGGCGCAAAGCAACTACGGCGTTCCCTCAAAGATGGTCCCACTGCCCCTATAACAAATAACGCGGCCCACGGGGAAGGGTGAAATGCTAGGAAAGCGCTCCTAGCGGGGCATACACACGGCCGAACTTGCAGCGCCTCACGGAACGACCGAGTGCTAAGCAAAGCGCCCACATGAAGATTGCACCCGCACTGCCACGACCTGCCAGGAAGGGAGTGGTAGATAGGTGCTCGACCCACCCTCGCCCGGCGCAAACAGCTCCGTATTGGACGGCAGGAACACAAGGTCAACCGCCAACTCCATCAACTGTTGCCACCAAGGTTGGGCCGTCCAGTACGGCACGACTAGGGTGAGGCACGCTCCCTCCTCACGCACTTTCTGCACCACAGCGAGCAAGAAGTCGGGGTCCAAGGGTGGGCAGCCATATGCATTAAGCCCTGCCCAAGATTGCAAGAGAGCATTGACCCCCGATGAACCCGGACAATGGTGGCGAGAAAAGAAAACCGGGAGGTGCGTGTTAATATGCGTGGCAAACAAGTCGACATGGTGCGGACCGAAGCGGTGCTCCAAAAGGCGGAAAAACCGGGGATGCAAGCGGTAATCATCACGGTCTACCCAACGCGAGGCTTCATCTGCCTCGTTGTCAGCACTAGCCACACGCTCGACTTGCAGAACAATACTATGCTTCTGCATGAATTCCCATAATAATTTTAGTTCGGCATGCAGAGCTGCCGAGCGCGAGGAAAGACGCCCTAGCACTGCTTGCGTGCACATGTTGTCCTCCCTAATTAACACAACACGCTGCTGAACGAACGGGAGAAAGGACTCTAATGCATGACGGACAGCGCGCAACTCCTTCCAATTGATGTGCTCGTAGAGCTCGGGTGCCGACCAATAACCGCGCGCCACACGACCCTGCAGGACCGCGCCCCACGAATGGCATGATGCATCCACTGAAAGCTCAACTGCAGCAGGCCCCTGGTGAATAGCCGCCGAGCAGTGGTGGGTAGGGATGTCCGCCCACCAATCTAAGTCACGTAACGACCCACGGGACAAGCGAACTCGACCGGACCAGCCAACAGGTTGCTTAATGTCGTCGTAAAAATTGCGGAGAAATAAAGGCGCTGGGGTAAGGGCCAATTTGACACTCTGCGCAAAACCACAAAACTTAGCCAGCTCACGCTTCTGGACAAGACGCCGATTTTTCTTTGCCGTGATCCGCAACCCGATCGCCAGCCGCCGCAATTTGGCGAGCTTCTGCTTAGGCACCTCAAACACACCAGCTGCCGTATTGATCGTAATGCCTAAATGGTACACTGACTGCGACGGCTCCCACTGGCACTTGGTGGGGTGGCACGACAACCCCAAGAACTCGATACTCTCACGCACCCAGCGCGCACCAAGACGCGCTTGCTCCTCAGAACTAAACACGAAGAGGAAGTCATCCAAATACGGCAGCACTCGCGCACCCGGACGAGAAGGACGCCCTGTCCGGGAAACGGGAAAAAACTGGTGGGGCGGGAGCGGGGGCGAGAGACGCTTGCGACCTTTACCCGACGCAGCCAAAGGATCCCGCCAAAAACGCACCACATTGCGCATGATTTTTGTAAACCAATACGGGCTATTTAGCCACCCCATAGGCAGGGCGTTCATCTCGTACAGAACACCACAAAAACGAAAAGTGAAGAAACGCCGATCCGCTGGGCGAATAGGGATGTGGTAAAAGGCGTCTGCCAAATCCACCTTCACCATCCAAGAGCCCTCGAGGCCCATACGCCGCAGGGTGCGGAGGGTTTCGTACCGGCACTTGTAAGCTTTCTGCGCTACGTTCATCCTCTTCAAGTTGACGACCAAACGCCATGAACCACTGTCCGGTTTCGGGACACAAAAAGCGTTCACCACATGATCAACCGCACGGGAGGGGTCTACCCGCGAGATGGCCCCGAGCGCCACCAGGCGAGGCTCCTCCTTCTCCAACCACCAACGGCTCTGCTCGTCTGTAGCAGGAAAACTTGGCAGGTCAAAAGCAGGCGGCGGGCGGTTACCTCGAAACTCCACCGGGACACCATGCTTCAAGACGTGCAATGTGCGCGCATCTGCTCCAATTGCCTTCCAAGCGGCCAGCCGCGCCGAGGCCCTAGCATGCAGGGGCACGGAGGTGGTGGACATATCGGGCTACTCGTGCTGCCCCGGAAACTCCACGCCTGGGGTTGTAGAGCCCGTCGCCACGCGGAAGGGATGGGACGAAGCGCACACATAGCCACCACCGGTGTGGGCGGACGTCGATTTCCTGATCCGCTGAAGAGCAAACCTTCAGCGTCGCGCCCAAACCTCGGGGATGAGCTTGATGAAATACGTCGTCAAGAGGACATTTAGTGTTGTAGCTGCAGGGGCAAGCTTGTTGGGTCCGGGGTGGGCGGGAGTTGTTGACCCGCTCCGGAGAAAGCAGGGGGCATAAACTGCGTCGCAGAAGCCCTCGAGGAAATGCCAGTCTGTGAAATTCCAGTTAGCTATGTAGGATAGCTGTGAGTTGCCTCCACCAGCGGAGTCATGCCTAGCGATACCGGGACATCCGCCGCCACTAGCACTACTAAAGGTGCTTCAATAAGGTGGGCTAACTCTATGGTGCTAGTGCTTTATATTCTCCACTGCACTCTACCCGATGGGTCTCGCTGACGAGCCGAAGGCACAGCGGTGTAGTAACAGAAAGCGCGCCGAAGGCGCGGGACCTGTTTTGTTGATCAGCGCGCGCTGAACAACAAAAACAAGATAAGCTAACCAGCCTAATGCGCGCAATAAATGACGGCCCTGAGGACACGGGCCGTTGCGAAACAGTTAGACTAACAGTTACGCATTGGGCCTTACGCCCAACTAACCCAGCTTACTTACGCAAGCTCGCATTATATCTATATACGCTTCACAGGCAGGGTAAAACTTACTTTGTAGTTGGTTGCAAGGACTTATGAGCTGCGTGCCTCCCTTAATTCAATTCATTAATCGCGACGTAGTCCTCTTGCCGGCCTTCAGAAGGAGAAATCTCGCGAACAGTTGCAGTAGGGGAGGTCGGGGCCAGTAAGGCCAGCGACCAAAAACGTTACCATGCTGATGCGGGCCGGCGCGGGGAAGGGCTGTGCTCCAAAAATCTCATTTTCAGTTTCTTGGAACATCACCATTTCGCTCCCACGGGATTTCCCCGTATTCCAATAACCCCCCGTCGGGCAAACCGTCGCTTCCTACGGCCCTCCCTTAGGCTTTTATGGACACCCCCGCACTTGTGTGTGCGGAACTTGTAACTGCTCCTCTATGCAACCCCCACCCAATCCCCCTTTTTTCCTCCGCATCCTCCTCGCACCACCACCACTATCCACCGCACCGTCGTACGTGTATTACACAAACATGCATGCGGTACGACGGTACGACACAAGGTCGGTTTCAAGGGCGGCCAAGGTTTCGCTTCCACGGTTTGGGACTCGTCCATAGTGGTGGCCAAGATGCTGGAACGGAATCCAGATCTGGTGGTGGGCCGTGCCGTACTGGATCTCTCTGCAGGATGTGGCCTCGTGGCTGTCGTGGCGGCACGGCTGGGCGCCCGCCGTACGGTTGCAACCGATTTGGGCCCCAATCTTCCGCTTCTGCATCGCAATTGCAAACGTAACGGTGCGCGGTTCTGGTATCCGTGTATGCTAATATAAAAAGGGAGCAGTGAGGGGATCGAACCGGTACTTACTTACACGGTAGCGTCACCTTACCAGCAACTAATTCTGCTCGCGTAATAAAAGGAAATGGTTGAGTATTCAGCTGGAGTTTCAATAGACCATAACAGCATCAAACCCTAACATCCTTACCTTCTCCTAGGCGCGATGGTGGAAGTGGTGGAGCACTGGTGGGGAACTGATACGACACCTTTGCAGACGTGTCAGGCGACCGGGACAGGAGGAGGAGGAGCAGGAGGAGGAGATGACACTTCCGTGCCCGACGTGAAGTTTACCTCAACGAATGGCAGTGGCGGTCAAAGTGATGTTAGTGGAGTGGGAGCGGGAGCGGGAGGAGCAGAAGCTGCAAGAGGATGCGAGGCCGGAAGAGAAAGAGGAAGTCTGGATGTGGTCATTGCATGCGGTGAGAAAAAAAAGAACTTAGGGTGTTGTGTTTTTGTATTACCGGTGTTCATAAGCCTGTGAAATCTATTTGTCTGCTTGCCTGTCTGTCTGCCTGCCTGTCTGTCTGTCTGTTTGTCTAATGGTTCTCTTGTTTTTCAATTCCCAGCGTGTTACGCACACATACACACACTCTCTTTTCTCTCTCTCTCGTTTCTCTCTCTCTCTCTCTCTCTCTCTCTCTCTCTCTCTCTCTCTCTCTTATACACACACCGTTTTAAACCCCCCCGGATGGACACAGTTTTTATAACTGAAAAAGGCTTATTATACACGTCGCTGGACTACGGAGCTCGTATTGATAAAGATGTTCATGTATCCGCTTCGACTTTTCCTGTATCGCGTTCGCGGCTCAGATTATTTACACACACAAGCAAATACACAAAAAAACCTCCTCCCGCTTCCCCCTCCCGCTTCCCCCATCCGCACCCCCTCCAAAAGATGTGATGTACATGGAGGATGCAGTGGGGCCTCTGGTGGTGACGTTAGCAAGTCTGTGCGGCGGAAAGTACAACGGTGCCGGCGGCGGAGGGACGCCGCCGGCGCCGCCGCCGCTGCAGCAGCCACAGCAGCAGCAGCAGCAGCAGCAGCAGCAGCAGCGACGAGGCCCTGAGTTGACAGCGCTACCACCGACGACGCCGTCAGGCCGCTCTGACGCCGCGGCCACCAACGCCACTAACACCATTGCGGCGTCGACGTCGACCAGTTCAGGCACGACGGTGATTTTGGCACACGGTCGCAACCGGTTTGCGGAGGCAGCGTTTTGGCGCCACGCCGAGGCGGCAGGTTTTAAAGCGGAGGCCGTACCGTGGGACGAGCTGGATCCTGTGTACCGCTGTACGGATGTGGATGTGTATCGGATGCGGCTGGTTGGCCGGGGCGATGGCGCCCTCGTGGAGTAGGGGCAGGATAGGAGGTAGGAAGGTAGGAAGAAACGTAAGGAGGTAGGAAGGTAGGAAGAAACGCTACTTGGCGGGACGGGAGGCGGAGGAGAGGGAACAGGTCGAAGGCGTGTATGACTCTTTTTGCCCTTTTAGTGCGACGAATGGAGAGACGTAGAGGAGTAGGGATTTTACGCTTGGACGGCCGCTCAGTACACCCATCCCGCACGTTCCTGCCATACCGCACGTTCCTGGGCCCGTGTGGAGGCCTTTGTGGAGGCAGGGCTGTCTCCGCACTCCAGAACACACACACACATACATACATACACACACACACACACATATACACACACACACTGCACTCGGGGTTTGTATGACCGCTGTCGTTAAAAAAACGGTGCAGACTGCAGCCTCTGGTGCAGAAGCTGGGGTGCTGGAGGAGTGGGGAAGTTTTCAAGAAGCATTATGTGGAAGACAGCATCGCGGGTTGGGCCTGGGAGACGTCCGTCTCGATCAATACTGCCCAGTGATCCTTGCACTTGTGGGTCCTTTAAAAGATAACTATGTCATCACTATCGGCCACTAGTGCAAGTTTCATAATGGGTTGGTGTTGGGAGGGGTTTCGCAGCTGGGTTTGTTTTGCTACCAAGCTGAGCTGGTGGCTGGTGGCTTAGCTACGGTAACGCAACACGGCAGGACTCAGCAATAAGGAGTAGACACGTAAACAAAGGGTAAAAGCTATACTTGTTATGGATGGGACCCCCGTTACGTCGACGGAACACTAGGGAGTTTTTGGGGACAAGATGCGTGACTTGGGAAAACTATAATTAAACAGATTGGGACCCTTGCTACTCCATCTCTGTACTAGATCTCTGGGTATCTTTGTTCGCATGGCAGCGTGCTTCCACAGGCGGGCTTCCATAACAGACTTCAGCAAACATCCTCATGGATATGGCTGCGGGTCCGCTATGTGAAAAGTCAAGCTGGCTCGCTTGCGTCCGCCTCCTACGCGCGTCCATTGCCAACTAAATGACCACATGCTCATATTGTAAAGTATGTTATGAATAAGACAAGGCAAGGTAAATAATGCTGGTGGAAAGCGTAATCTGAGGCCCTTCTTGTGTCATGCATGGAAACTTCGGAAAACGGTCATCTACGACATTGGCGCGCTTTGGTAAGCAAGTAATTTAGGTCTCATCCTAAACATCGAGTTCTAATTTATTGCGTGGTGATTCCATTGATTTTGGTCAGCACAACGACGATATTAACTGTTGTGCGCTGGCCCTGCTCCGTCCATTCATAAATATAATAAATCCTGCCCGCTAAAAGCAGTGGTCTTTGCGTAGCTTTGCAGCAAAAAGAAAATGATGCGCCAAGTCGTTGCCCCAGCCAGGAATACCGCTGGTGAGTCTTCCTGAGGTCCTTGCGCATCGCAATGCTGCAACGAATTTACCGATCGGCAATCGAAAGCGATCGCGCAAGGCAGAAACCCTCTATCAATATATATCATACTTTTTGACAGCATTCCTGGTTGTGCGTCAACCACCTGCCCGCTCTTATTGCTGTAAAGCTCGGAAAGCAACCTGCAACCTGGAACCGCCAAACGTCCTTTTTTCCCGGCCTCCGTTGAAATTTCCCCTTAGCGAACTGCGTGCGCTTGTCTCCCATCAGTTTGCTCTTGCTCCATCCTCGCTCAACTTCCCACACACTGTCACACAACTGCCGTGCTCACCTTTGGGATCCCGAACTATCCCGAGCTCGCTACGCAAAAAGAACAAAGAAACACGCGTCCGTCGCTCGACCTCGAATCCCCCTCACTTGTTGATCCCCTCAACGTTGACCTCTAATTCACCACTTCCCCGCACGGCCCTATCACGGCGCCTTCACGGCGAATGGTATGCCGAAACCTGCACAGGCATTGCGAACAGGACTCGCTCCGCTTCAAATAGCGTGACCTACCATCGGGTTGGCGCTACTGCCGTACATTCTTCTTCCTCTTCTTTTTCTTCGCACAAGCCCAGCGTCGCGGGAGTAAGGACCGTTGTGGCCAGCAGGTAACCTCAAACTTTCCGTTTCTCAAACATTCCAAAGCATCCTCTTGCGCGGCTTGTACAACAATTTTTCGAAGTTTCGTTTTCTGCTGTTCTTGTTTTTGCTTTTCTTATATTATTATTAAAAAGGCTCCAACAGGCTCGTTCGATGGTTTTCACGATGATCTTGAAACTCCCTCTCTCCCCCCCAAAAACACAAAAATATTCCCACCTACTCAAAATTACAGCGCTGCTACGGCGCCCGCTGCAACGGCGACTACTACAACCACCTCGCAACCGGCACATTTTGATGTCGGTGACGGCAACCTTATACCCGTACCGTCCGACGTGGCGCCGCTGTTCACGTCGTACAAACTGTCTGGCGGGCGCTTCCAACTGTCCAACCGAATTGTGTACGCACCGTTGACGCGGTTGCGGGCCATTGGTTCAGTTCCCCAGCCTTCAGCGGCAGTGTACTACAGTCAACGTGCCGTACCGGGAACTCTCTTGATCTCGGAGGCGACCATCGTCGCTCCCGATGGCCTCGGGTAGGGCTGCTGTACGGACAGAATTTTGTGTCGTACGAAAGCAGCTGGAGATGGACTGAATAATAAAATAGTAATAATATTCATTTTACAGTAATTTCAAATCCTTGTACGGCATTTTTGTGTGTTTTGGCGGGCCTTACAAGGAACGTTGGTGGTTTAAATTACACAGTATGAAATGTGTTGTCGGGTGTTGTCGTACTTTGCCACATGGGGGGCCATTTTCGTTTATCGCCGGTGACTGCGGAGGTAATGGACGCGGAGGAGAGTTGTGCATTGGGAAAATATGAGGGACCGGTCTGTTGCGATAATGCCGATGATGCCGATTTTTCGAGTGTCAGGTGTTGTACTTGTCATCGTTCCTTATACGACTGCGCTCCTAGCTACCGCTTCCCCCCCCCCACTTTTTAAAAACCCTAACCTAAACCCTATAACAACCTAAACCCAACTGCCCCCTGGACATCCCGCACCTCCCCCCTCCTTGCTGCCACCACAACCCTCAGCTATATGAACTCCCCCGGAGTGTATTCCTCTGAGCAGCTGGAGGCATGGAAGCCAGTGGTCAAGGCGGTCAAGGACAAGGGCGCGCTCTTCTTCTGCCAGCTGTGGCACTGCGGCCGGGCCTCGCACCCCGGTGAGTTGCATTTCCCGAGGTTTCCCGATGCTGAAATAAATGTAGGAGCTGTCTCCTTTTACAACGGGAGTGTGTCAATATCCTTAATAGTGCTTGTGTAAGGGGAGGATGTTATTATCGTTGGTAATGCGTTTGCTGATCAATTTTTTCGGGATTTGGGGGAGGGACGTAAGAGACTGGGGGATGCAAGCTCTTTAGAAAGATGGGGAGGGTTTAGGGTTGTGGTTTGTGGTTTGTGAAGTGAAAAGTGGGGTTTGGGGAGCGGTATTGTGGGGCGAAAACGTGGAGCAGAATGTACGGCATACGGACATATGCCGGCGACGAAGAAGGGTGAAGGCGGTAAGGTGAGATGGTGAGATGGGGCTTAGGGTTTCTCGGTAGGGTATGTGTGATCCATAATATGGAATTGTCTATGGAATTTGCATGTGAGCTTTGTCTGTCGGTCTGTCGGTCGACTTGATATTGATCGTCTGTTTGATCCGTGTATTGATCGTTTTGCGCTTCTCTCTTCTTTTCTCTCCTTGCCCATCCGTACTCTTGCCCCTTCAAGAAACTTCCTCTTTTTCACCTGCCATCCATTTCTATTTCTACTTTCATTTCTTACCCCCTCATTGCCTAGTGATTGGTCTGCCGTGGTTTGTGTAAATCTGTCCAGCCGTCTGCTTGTTTGTCGGTATGTTTGTATGTGTCCTCCTTCAGAGCTTCAGCCCGGCGGCGCCGCCCCCCTGAGCTCGTCCACACGTCCCATCACGTCACCAGAGTACGTCGTATACACACCCTCGGGCCCCAAGCAGTACGCCGTACCGCGGGCAGGTCGGTAGGATATCTGTACGGAATTGTAAGAATATCTGAAACCCTAAGGAATTGCCGTGCATGGTTTGTCGTACATTATGCCTGTTTTCCTCTGTTCGTTTTTTTTAATGCATGCAACTTGGAGGGCAGGTGGCTGGGATGGTTTGGTTGGTATGCATCTACCTGGCTGGTGCGACATATGCGCGAACTCTGAAAATTAGGAGTGTATGTATATGACGGGGGAATTGGATTCGTAATAAAAAGCTAAGACCCAGATCTGGAGATGTTTTATTTTTCATGGCCCTGCTGCAATCCCCGAACAACTTGCCTGCACCAATTCATTTAGTGGATGCCGCTGGCCCTTGCCTGCTTCGTTCCCCGTTTTCGATTGTTGTTTGGGTTTGTGCGAAATACATCCACGTGAATGGTTTTTATGTTTGATAAATATATATTTATGCAAATAAATGAATTATGTGGGAGAGCCATCTGTTGATGATGTTGTTAATAGGGAGCTACCAAGATTTTTTATGCCTAAGAGCAAAGATGCCGAGCCGACCCATTTGCGCTGCTGGTTTTCCGGAAATATTAACTTCTTTCTTTCTATCTCTCCGCACACGCGCTTGATGCATCAGATGTTTGTCCTTGATGCATCGATATTCATCGCCTTCGCATTCCTTGTTGATGCCGCATTTTCTTTGCGCCTGTTCGTCTCTTTCCTCTATCTCCTACTTCACATGTTGCCCCTGTTTTTCCTGTTCCTTCACCACCACCACCGCCATCCTCTCCCCGACATACATGCATACGTACATACATACACACGCCTGCACGCCTACCTACGTACATACATACATACCCGCAGCCACGAAGGAGGACATCAAGCGAGTGGTTGCCGATTATGCTCGGGCCGCCAAGAACGCGATCGAGGTGGCGGGCTTCGATGGCGTTGAGATTCACGGTGCCAACGGCTACTTTATTGATCAGTTGGGTGGTTGGGAGCGGTTCAGTTGGTTGGCCGTTTTTCTAGTTGGGTTGCTTATCACTGTTTAACGTTTTTTTACAGTTTTGGAGACTTAATCTGGTCGGAACAGTTGGGACAGGTGGACGACGAGCGGTTGGCTAACGGTTGGACGAACGAGGGATGATAAGAGGGGTTCAGAGTGACCCGTTGCCCCTATTACATAACCCTAGGAGGACCTACAATGTACCGCGTCGCCTCCTTCTTAGTATTGCCAACAGCAACTGTGTACGGACCTGCCTGCTGCCGTACCTGTGCCGTACTGGTGCGAATATACAGGTTCATCAAGGACTCCGTCAACGATCGTACGGACGAGTACGGCGGTTCTATTGAGAAACGCTGCAGGTGCGGATCGCGCTCTCGTTTTTTTATTCAGCGGTTGGTTTAGTTTACAAGGATTGTCGGGAGTTTTGTTTTAAAGACATGAAAGATCTTTTCTCCGTTTTCTGAGGGGTAGGGCCCCCGGCAAATGGAACCGAAAAGGCGAATTTAAAGCTTCATTGTTAGGACAGCCGCTTGCACGGGCCTTATGTCGGATGCCATGTCAGCTATGTCGTATACTGCTATATAGTAATCCTTTACCCACGAATTGAGAGGAAAACGTTCCCAGTTCATAAAAACACACATACATACATGCACAAACACGACAACACATTGATTGTGTTTGGATTGTTGGTGATTTGGACCGCACTTTTCGTGTGGCACGACAAGGTGAATACACAACTGGTCGAAAACCCGACGAATGCTTCCGATGAAATACAACACCCGGAGAGCAACACGGAGAGCCCAAACCCCCCGATAACATCCTGTCGTACAGACTCGCCTTGGAAGTGGTGGAGGCGGTGGTGGCAGCGGTGGGTGCAGATCGTGTGGGTATTCGCATAAGCCCCTTTGCCCAGTTTTTGGATGCTGTGGACTCGACCCCCTACGCCACCCATACCTACCTCGTCGAGCAGCTCAACAAGTACGGCCTGTCGTACATTCACATGGTGGAGCCCCGAATCCTGGGTAAGATCTGCGGTTCCGTTTTTTTAGAAATTGGATCTGGAACCTGGAATCTTGTAAAAGGAATAGGACGTATTCATAACATCCTACACTGTGCAGGACAGGACAACCGAAGTAAGAGCTGCTAATGTTTTTCGCGCAAATATGTTTTTGCGTGTTGTGGGTGTGGGCCATGGAAACGTTACTAATGATTTTTAAAAGTAACGTCCTTTTTTCTTTCTGCCCGTAAGCATTTTTTGCTTTTGTAAAATAAAAAAAAACCGTTAAATGCGTATTTATTTTTCCTTCTTTTTTAATCTTTGATGCCAAAACAGGCAACACAGAGGTGGAGTCGTCTTCGGACTCCCTCGAGCCCTTCCGCCGGGTATACAAGGGCACGTTCATCACCGCGGGCGGCTTCAAGGCCGATACGGGTGCTGCGGCGGTGACGAGCGGTCAGGCGGACCTTGTGGCGTACGGCAGGTGGGCGGATGTGTACGGCAGTACGGCTGCAGCTGATTTTTCCGCCTGTAGAAAATACACGCATGCATGGCATGTTTGTGTGTGATGTTGGAGGAGGAGTATGCGAATTTATATGTACCTCAAGGCGCAGGCCGGCTTATGCAGCAATGACACCGTCTGCTGCTGCTGCTGCTGCTGCTACTATGTTTTTCTGTTTTGTGTTACTAGCAGAAGCCATCTCCGTTTCATCAAAAGACCCCGCCTTCCTACACCTTTTTACTTCTCATCTTTTTCATCTATCTGTTTCCGTACAACTCCTTCCGTACGTCCGAAACACACACAGGTGGTATTTGGCCAACCCCGACCTGCACAAGCGTTTCCTTCTCAACGCACCGCTCAACAAGTACGACAGGAACACGTTTTATTCTCCAGGCATGGAGGGCTACATCGATTATCCCACCCTGGAAGAGCTGCAGGGCCAAGGGGAGGACGCGAAGCAGTAGTGGTTCTAGTCTAGAGGTTTGATTTGTAGCGGTTTGATTCGTTCATAATCGCCGGGCAGCTGTAGCTGCGCTTTCTGACGATCGCTCTTGTATAGTGTGATGTGCTGCTACCTTTCCGGGATCATTCGGTTGGGCTCCATCCCCACCAGGGGGTTTCTGGGCTCTCGCAGGTGGCCGGCCTTGTAGAGTCTTGTCGCGAAGAGTGATGAATTGCAGGTGGATTTATGCATTTATTATATCCAAAATTATTTAAAAAAATTGATGGGACGTTCATTAAGTTTTTCATTTCACGTCTACAATGCATTACGACGCCAACCGGCAATACACGCAGTTGCAGCCCCACCATGCCGAGCGGCGCGCCGTACTCTGTACGAATGGCTCGTCCATTCACACAGTTTGCATGTTGTGTTTGGGTTGTTTGGGTCGCATGTGCGGGTAGCACCGGTGATACGTCCAGACACTTCACTGTAACGCCATTTATTCGTTCATTCAGTCACGCCGTACACCATTGGGGTAACACCTTGGGCTCAGCCTCACCTTCGGGTAATACCGTTAAAAGTTCGTTGTCAAGCGGTTTCGAATTGACAGCGCTACTTGTTGCATGCGACCAAATCCAAGAAAATTGGCAAATGCAATTAAAATCTTTATTTATCCTTTAATGGAAGTTGTAATGAAAACGATGTATTTAACAACAGACAACAGAAGCCACGAAGAGGACGTCGCGCAGCCGGGTTAAAACCCACGTGCACACGTGCTGGTCGTCTATCTGTCTCTGTGTATTTGTGTATTTATATGTACATGCGCATATGTATGTGTACACAATTAACAATTAACACAAATAACAACAGTAACGATGGTACATGTACGACAAGAGAGAAGACATGTCGTACAACATCGTACATGATGCAACCGCCGCCGCAAACCGTTCGCGTCAGAGGCCTGCGGCAGGCGCATTTAAGCAAACCGTACACACGCTTAACATTGGGCTGCCAACGAGATAAGGACCGCCATCGTCGTCGCCGCCGCCGCCGCCGCCGCCACCGCTGCCTACATCTCTGGAAAGACATGTCCGGCAGGTTCCAGCCCGCGTTCCCGCAAGCTCAGCTGCGCTCGACAAGTAGCCCATATGCCCCCTTTAAAACTGTCGCTGACGTCATCACCACTATTGACGTCAACGCCGCCGCCGCCGCCGCTGCCGCCGGTGATGATGGCAGCTTCCAAGCGACGGTTCACCACAACAGCGTGTTCCAAGCTGACGGCCTGCGGCGGTACAACCACCACTAACTGCGTTCCTAAGTGCACCTGCGTCCCTGCGCCCATGACCGCCAGCGGCACTGGCGCAGCAGACGACAATGCTGCACCCGCCGCCGGTGCCGTTGACCCGCTGGCCGTTGACCCACACGCAGGATCTCCTCCCGCCCTCGCCGCTGCCGCCGCCGCGTGGGGCAGGGACGACGAGTACGAAGGGGGCCAGAATCGCCGTTGCGTCTTCAAGGCCGCCGGCAGCGAAAACGCCAGGCAACAGTCCTCAAGCTCCCGGAGGACGCCGGCGACAGATGTCTCAGGATCCGCTATTGTAGTCGCCGACGTGGCAGTAGCAGCTGTAGCTGTAGCAATTCCAGTAGTACACGAGCCAGTGCCTTTACTAGGAGCAGCACTCGTATCAGCAGTAGCAGCAGCTCCACCACCATCAACACCGCCGCCGCCGCCGCCGCCGCCGCCAGAAGCGGAAGCGCCACCGGGTGCACCACCACCCGCCATTCCTTGTGCCTCAGCACCCGTGTTGTCGCCTATGAATGCTATCCTAGCTCCCATCCGTATCATCGTTGTTGATGTTGTCGCTAAAGTGGCTGCAACCATAGGTGTGGAAGGCGCTTCCTGATGTTGCTGCTCCTCCTGGTGGGGCCGATGTTTTGCTTGTGTCTGCTGTCGTTGTGTTTGCTGTTGCTGGTTCTGTTGATGAATGGTAATCTGGCCAAAACGGAGCTCAGAGAGGTGTTGAAGAGAGCCCAACGGCTGCACAAAAGCGGAGAGGACAACGGCGTGCGGTGAGGCGCGGGACTGGGGGTGTGGATTTGTACGGCAGTAGGTCGGGGTGGGGGTGGGGTCCTTGCTTTCTTGTTCTCGGAAAGTCAGCTGAGGGCCACCTCCGGTGACGATATTCCCTTTTCAATTTCACCGCCATTGCCACCTCTGGCAGAAGCGGCACCACCACCACAATCGCTTTACCTCTTTTCCTTCTTCATCCCCTGTTCAACCCGCGTGGATTTCGATAATTCGGTTTTTTTGGTGCTGAAAGATCTAAATGGACGAAAACCGTAGGTGGTGAATTTGAATTTAAATTTGAATGCACGAAAATGAAAAATGTGCAAATGGAAACGTTTTGTTTTTGCTTACCATCAGACCCCCTCGCCCGCCAGCACTAAGCTCCACCCTCCCTAGAGCTAACCGCCGCAACGCCGGCAACCCTGCGGCCAGCAACGCCACGGCGCGCTCGTCCACGGCATTGTATGCCAGACGTAAGCCGTACAAATTCGGCAGTTGGTACGGCAACCACCGCAACGGCGCTGCGAGGCGGGAGCCCCCGGCGGCGCGGACGGCCATCGCAAGCAGATGCGGATCGGCGGGACCAGGAGTAGATCCGATTTCTGGTGGGTCAGCGACCCAGTGGTCTGGTGTTGCCCCGATTGGAGGCGGCAGTAACAGGTCCAGGTCGACATGGCTGGCGGCGGATTGGAGGTAGGCGTAGCACTGTACGGCAAAGCGAGAGGGCGGTGTCAAGGACGACGGAGCGGGGCGCGGGTAAGGAGGAGGGATGTTGGAGACCTATAAGGCAATACACATGCTTGCATGCACGTTTTTGCATTCGGGTAAATGTACGCGCGCGCGACGGTTTGGGGTTGTTAAATGGGGATGGCAGGTTCGTGATTATGAGTGTGAACGAGCGAGTGGAGGAGGAGGAGGAGGAGGAGGAGGAGAGGGCTGGGTGTTAATGGGCCTTGTAGACGTGCGAGGATGCTCGCACGTGTGCGGGTGCGTGGGGGCCTTATGCGCCACGAGGGGGTCGTACACGGTCCTAAAATTGACTTTGGTCGTGATGCTATGAGGGCGCAATGAGGGCATGGCACGGCATGGCAGGGCAGATCTCCATGTGTGCGCCCTGCGCTGGTATTCCCCCTGCACATCCGCACACACCCACACACAAAAGGATAGCTTAATCAAGCAACACAAAATAGCGGCAATGGGCCCCCGGGAAAACCCCTGGAAATAAATAAATCCAGAAGTTACTACATAACTCATTCGTTTCCCGTTGTCCAGCTGATAAAATATATTACGACTTTAACGTCCCCAAGCTGCCGTACTGCCGTACTCCCAAGCGCGTGAACAGCGGCGGCGGTGCCCGTACCTTAGAGCTGCCCCCGTTACGTGAAGTAATGGCGACGGCGGCTGCGGCGGCTGCGGTCTGCATGCACGCACACACATTAGGGACGATAGATATAGATCTGGACAAACAGTTATTTCAATTCCACGTCGCGTCGCGTCGTCGTTCGGATCACGCGAAAGCCAAGGACACGTTGATTGGTCAACAGAATCAGCCAACGGCCAACGACCAACGGTCAGAACAACGGTCGAACGCCCAAACCGTCAAAATGAGAAGATGCGGCCACTGGACTTATTGATCTCACCCCCTGGTGTTCTGGAAATAGAGCCGTCGGTTCCTCCTCAAGAATTGAAACACGAAGTCGGAGGCAAGCTGGTAGACGAGCTCGCGGCGGTGCCGCTGTCGAGTCCCACGCGGCATGGCGCACTGCTCGTCCCAGCGGCAGGCGTCCAGCAGCAAGCTGGCCCCGTACATCCCGCGGTAGCAGATCGCCATCATCGCCATGATCATTGACGCCGCCGCCGCCGCCGCCCCCGCCGCTTTCTGGGCCGTTAATCGACGTCGCCACGCGATGAAATGCCCACCGTATCAGGAGCTCGGATAGGTGGTGGCTGTACGGCACTACCCCTGGAACCACGCCTTGTCCGTAAGGCAAACGACCCATGGGTCGTCGGCACCTACCCGAGATGCCCCAGGGTACCCAGCCACGTAGATGTAACGCCTGAAGCCGCCGCAGCGACATGCCGCATGTCATTAATGCCTCAAGATGCTCGGGGCTGCACGCCAGTGTCATTGGCGCCAAAAGAGACACGGGTCGGCTGGAGGCTGCGGCGCCGCCGCTGGCGGCCGCCGCCGCTGGCAGCGGCGGCTGCGGCAAATCCAACTGTAACGTCTCTAGACTGCTGAGGTTCGCTGACAGCACCATGTCGTACAGCTCCCGCGGCAATGTCACCTCGTCGTCACGGGGGCCAAGCACGTCCGCCGCCGTAGCCATCAGCTGCAAGCGCAGGGAACGTAGCGCCTTAAGATGTCCCAATGACGGCGTTACCTTTGGTTGCTGCTGCCGCGGCCGCCGCCACCGAGCACTACCGGACTCGCAACAGGCCGGCAGTAACGCCAACTCGAGGCGCGTAAGGCCCGTCAAGCGGGAAATGCAGTGGCACAGGTCCAAGCCAGCCGCCACGCCAGCCAGCGCCAGGCTTTGTAGCTGCGTCAGACAGCCTAGAGAAAGCAACGCGCCGCCTGGAAGACCCGTGGGTCGGTCGAACTGCGGCGGATTCGACGGTGTCGGTAGAGTGTCAACACAGCGAAGAGCAAGCGAGCGAGCGAGCGAGCGGGCGAGTGGGTGAATGCACGATATGGGTTACGAGCGTTACGAGCGTTACGGCTGCACTGAAGGTGCTGCGGGTGCTGCTGGAGAGTGTTACGCAGCACTCGCGGAGGCCCCCTTGCGATGTTTGTAGCTTAGATGCGGCAGGAGCGAAGCGAGTATAGCCTCTAAGCTAAGTTATGTACGGCAGCCGTATGGCTTGCCGAGGATTTCGAATTTGCTACTTCAGCTTACACCTCCATAGTTCCGGCATTCTGCCTACACTATTGGAGCTTATTCTTGCTCTCACAATTAAGGTTCCAACTACCCTAAGCGCGTGGCCTGTTTGTGCTCGTTTCCATGTTTCGTTTCTCTACCCTTCCCTACCATCTTTTCCTAACCCGTCGCCTACCGAATTTACTAGCAATGGAGGTGTGTCGTACAGTTTGAGCTCCCTCAACTTGGTGCAGGCAGCCAGCGGAGCAAACGTAAGCCCCAAAAGCGCCCACGGCTCGCTGACAGTTGGCCTGCACATTAGACCATCACCACCACGGCTGCCTCGGTCGGGATGTGCTGCGCCAAGGAAGAGTTGACCGGAACTCGGACGCTTTTGGGTGATGTCGACTGAGTTACAGTTAGGATTTGCGTCCCGGTGTACATGGAGCATGACCAGGGCGGGACAGCTCGCAGCGAGCTGCTGAAACTGCTCTTGTGTGAATTGTTTGCAGGATGTCAAGTTCACCCCGCGGAGGAATCGGAGCTGCGATAGGAGGACAGGCCAACCGGGTCGCGACTCCTTATTGGCAATTGCTGCAGGTGCTCCATTTTGATGCCGGTCGCAGGTGCCAGATAGGCACATATGTAAGTAATGGATGTTGCGAAAGCGACCTCCGTAGTCGTTATTGCCCAGTGTGCTTGTAACCATGGAACGGATGTCCGTTTCCGCAACACCTCCCAAACGAAGGCATGTCTCGTCGCTAATACGGCATGCCCAGCGACAGGTTTGTCGCAACATAAGCCTCGAGCTGGGAGAAAGCCGGTTGCACACTTGCGTGAGGGCATCTGTCGGTAGTTGCTCCAAGCAAATTGTGGACATGTGCGCAGCCCAAAGGCAAAAATCGCAAGTTAATACAAGGTTTTCAAGATGAATTAGTGAATGGAAGGTGGCATGCGGCCCTCTTACTCCGGACCAGCAAAAGCTGACGACGGAGGTACAGCGTACGATGAGGAGGTCTGAGAAAGGTATTGGCAAGCCGAGCAAGGTATTGCCACGAGCAGCACCGGCAACTTGTCCATCCGGACAATTGCTATTCCGTTAACATGTACTCTTAATAACTTCTGTCACAAATGTTATGAGGGCGCAGTGACATAGCGCCTGGAAACGCCAACCCTCTCCACAATGAAGAATCCTTGTGGTTTTGCTTATCCCCTTCCCATAATGAGGACCCATTTTTAGAGATTGACGATTGTGACAGGGAAGTGATTAGAGGTGACGGCGCCTGACAGCGCAACGTGACTGTTTATCATAACCACGCGAACATGACAATGCCCGCACAAATTGTAGTGCCCTCGTGCCATCTGCATCGCATGCTAACGAAATCAGTGGATTGGTTCGTATTGCAAAGCATGTCGGGCACAGATTAGGGATGGGAATAGGGATGGGAAAGAGTAGGATAAAAATGTGGACCCCCAGGATAAGGATGGCAGAGGGCCCAGGATGGCGGTACATTTGGAAGGGTCAACGCCATCCCACCAAGGAAGAGGATGGCCGAGGGGGGTGCTGTCACCAGGGTGCGGTATGTTTGGCTCGAGGATACGGAAAAGAGGAGCGTAGGATCTATCCAACCGACAGGATGTGTACCCGACCCCCCGCCTAAAGGGGTTCCCATTTAGGGGAACCCCTTAAATCCCAGGATGCGAGGATGGGGCACCGCTTTGCACCCCTCCTCCAGCTCTAAGACATGGTGTCTGTCAGCCCATGGTTGGCCCTTCCGCTGCAACCCTTCTGAGTACTGTCTGGGCGTACATTCAGGCATTCTTGCGCACAATACCTAACTGTGCGATGCCATAAACAATAGACCTTGCAGGCTTGGAGCATCTACTGACAATCGATGACTTCAACAGGTTTGCTCGCGGCTGTGTCATTCATGAGATGGTGCATGGTCTATATCTAACAGTACATTAAAGTCGTGCTGACAAGGTGACGCACGTAGTCGGGGTCGTCAAGTCACAAGAGGTGCGCTCAAGTTGAGGAAGGGCTCTAGGCACACCCCTAAGCTGAATTGAAACATGGGGCATGTACTTCTTGCGCGTAGGTACATGTAACGCAGGCCAGACCTGCTTAACAATTGAATCACGTTTCGGTGAAGCTACTGGTATGCATAGAGCAGCGTGCCGGGTTAGTTATGACGCCCTTTCCTGCATTATCCTCAGGCAATGCGATTTTTTCAGCCTTTAGCTTTCTGTCCGCTTTGCTTCAGTCTATTCTACTAGGATGACAATATGCAAGTGCAAGCACAGGCAACAACGGCACTTGGACCAACAACACAATATACTTAATGGAAGACAAGCAGGCCTTGAACAGTTGCAGCAATTGAACCATCGGGCCGCGTACATAGGGCCCCCAAATCAACCTGCCTCATGCAAGCTTTTCCCTACTGTCTCCCAAATCTTGTGAACACGTCATAGCTTACCTTTAGCACACTTATTGTAATAAGTGATTGTTCTAGGGTTAAGAAGCATCTGTGCTATCCGTATCGCTTACAGCAGCTACCCTTAGGTTCTATTGTCTCGACCATGGCTATCGCCGTCCGTGCTGTGCTCCTTGGCCTGTTCTGACCTTTATTCACATTAGTTGCCTTCCGAGCAGCAACAAGGCCTGTATCGGGCTGTCTCGGCCTGTTTCGCGTTCCCCTGAGGCCTCGTGGCACTTTCTTGGAGTTGGGGCGCAGCGGTCTTTCGCACAGTATCCCAGCATGGTTCTAAACGGAAGGAGCGCTTAAGTCTGCAGGCCAGGCAGCCTTTGTCAGCACTCCAGCAACATGAGCGTGCAACTTGGGGCAGAGCCGTGCGCATTCCATTTGAAACGGACCCTGACATTGGGTGAGTTGGCATGAATTTAAAACTATGAGAGTTTTGTGGAGGAGAAGGACCCTTGTGACGCGAAGGTGTTGAATGTACTACTGCTGGTCCTGCTTCGCCCCCTCGGCCTGCCGCAGACCCATCTGGCCTTGCACCTAGGGAGAGCGAAGTGCAGCTGCTAACGTCATGCTGCAAGTTTGGCTGCGGAGAGAAGGAGTCCCTTAAAAGCGAGACCGCTGTTTGCTTCCCATTCGCAGCGGACAGGGCCAACTGCTCCTCACCACCGCCGACACCGTTCGTTTCATCTGCGGCATCCTTTAACAAGGATGTAGTTTCAGCTTTTCAAAGGGCACATGACCTCCCGTGCTCACCAGGTTCGGTTTTTAGGATTAGGAACCAGGACACAATAATTGAGACAAGCAGCTCTAGCTCTGAGGAGAATTCTGTTGCGACGCCCAACGTATCGGGTCCGCGTCTGAATGGCACACTTAGCACACCGATGAAGCTCGGCTCTTTGTGTGGAGCGGCGGACTCGGTAGCTCCCCAGCCATTGTCCTTCCAGCGTCAAGCGTCAGCCTGCCTAGGCGCCCTGCGCAGCTGCCCTGCGCACGGCGTCAAGGCAGTTTGCGGAAAACGCAATAAGATGGAGGACATGTATGCGGTGCAGCCGAACTTCTGTGACATTCCGCTGTCGCCAGCAGCAGACGAGCCGCTGCAAAACAAGCTGCCGCTGCGAATTGCAACACAGCTAGAGACTTCCGACCAGCAGTCTCCGACCAGCAGCGCCCCACTATCGCCGAGCGGCGCCGGGCCAGGCGCCGGCGTATGGGCGGGCGGCCCGGGGCAGGCCGACGGCGACCAGACCACGACAAACACACCCGGAACGGGTGCCTCGGATGCGACCGTTAGCGCCAGCGACACACTGCACTTCTTCGGCGTGTATGACGGCCACGGGGGTTGCCAGGCCGCGGAGCACTGCGCGAAGCGTCTACACCATCATTTGTCCAGGTCCATTGCCACAGCGTGCGGATACTCGATTGCGGACGGTAACCAGCTAATGCAGGCGCCAGAGGCAGATGGCAGCCAGGTAGACTGGTCGATTAGCAGTTCGTTGATGCAATCTGTGACCAAGTTTGCCTGCCTCAGCCTTGGGGGACAAGAACCGACACCTTCGGCGGCGATGCCAGGGGCGCTGCCGCCGCCGCCGCCACCAGCAGCAGCTCTGTCTCCGTCGCCGCCGCTGCCGTCCTCCTCATCGCCAACGTCTTCATCGCCAACAACGTCGCAGCAGCAAGGACAGCAGCAGCAGCACCCGCAGAAGCAGTGTTTGCTGGAGAAAGGTAGCGTAGATAGCGACAGCAGCAGTAACGGATCCAGAGGGCAAGATGAACACGCGCTTTACCCTCCGCCGGAGAACGACCCCATGTTTGAGAATGACAGCAACGGCAGCTCTGGCAGCGACAGATCCGACGGCGTCAGCGTAACGTGTCTGCTTGAGGAGGCACTGAAGGAGGCCTTTGTTAAGACGGACGCGGAGTTTGCGAACGACGGCTGCGCCGCAATGGTCGGCAGCACCGCGCTCGTCGCGCTGGTCGGCACGCGCAAAGTCTGGCTGGCGAATTGCGGTAAGGTTTCTGGAATGGTTATTGCAGGGGTGTTGTTTTCGAGGTGAAGCTGCATTAAAAGCGGTGTGCCCCCGCAGCAGAAGTGTGGGGTGCTTGACGCCTGCGGTGCCGGAACAGCGCTGCCTGGTGACACGGGTGCAGTTGCGAGAGGGAAGAGGGTTTGCGTGCGTGCTTGATCTTCGGAGCGGCGAGATGAGGGAAATGGCGAAGGTGATGAAAGTGATTATGCTGTGAGGTGTTTTTTGCGGGTGCTGGGCCGGGCAATAGAACGAAGGGGCGCTTTCTGTGTGGTATGATGACAGGCAGACAGGGCCGATGTGCCCCCGCAGCAGCAGCACCCTTTAGCAGTACAAGTGTGTATTCGCATGACACACCGGGTTCGGAGTAGAAGGGGGCACGGCGGCAGATGGCAAGGACGGGTTTGAGGTGCAGGTGGGCGAGGAGGTGCTTGCTGTCCGCACGCCGACGCTTCGCTCTTCAAGGTAGCTGCCGTGGCGATTTCATGGCTCCTCCTGCTGAGGCGGCGGTGGCACAGCGGCAGCAGCCAGCTGGTTATCGGTTTGGGGGTTTTTGGTGCCAGCGGTGCCGCCCGATGGTGACAGAGCGATTTGGGTCTCTTCCCCGGCGGGAACCCACTAAAGCCCGGAAGCCCTAGCCCCCTGGTGGCTTCAATAAGTTTTCTCTGCTGTACAGGGACACATGTAGATGACGTGTCACACAGCGCAGTTCCTGCCCTGTCCATTGGACAGGTCGAGACTGGCAGCTGCCAGTTTTGTCCAGTCCAATGGACAAGACAGGAGCTGCGCTGTGTGGGACGTCGTCTGGTCACGGACATGTACATGTACATAGGCGTATCGGAGCTTTCGCACCGTATGGTTTGAAGACGGCGGAGAGGCGGTTGAAGCGCGGCGCGGCGTTATATATATAACTGGATACATGCGCGCCATGCGGAGTAGAGAGTCTTGCATGGCTTCACGGCGATTTTGTCTCGGAGCTGCTGCGGCTGCCAGTGAGCCCCAATGGAGGCGTCCAGAGCTGTTTGTCCGTCGCTGGTGTGATGGCGGTTTTGCAGGTCGCAACGCACAATCGCACAGCGCTGTTTTGGGATTTTTCCAGTCAGGTGGTGGTGGTGGTTGTGGGTAATTTTTGTTGCTCAGCATGTCGTCGGGGGAGAGGGTGGGCGTCTCCCCGTGACGTATTTGCAGGAGGCGACGTGGCGCGGGCAAGTGTGACGAGTATCCTGTGAACTTTAATAATAACAGCGGCGTGGATAGCGTGGCGCTACTGCGTTTCTCGCCGGCTGCGCGGTGCTGCGAGATGGTGACAGACGAGGAAAACCGGTGACGATGTTGTGCGACGTCTGTGGGCAACGTCCGAACATGCTGCTGCTGCTGATGATGATGATGTCTATGACCGTGTCAATTCTGCGTACAACCCCCCGACGCGAACCCCGCGAGCCGTTTAGTTCCTCCGCAACCCTCTATTATCATTCTTGATAATGCACTGTGTGTGCTGCTGAGTTCAACAGCGTTCTTGTCCTGCCGCGTCATGTGCCGTGTAGCATTTTCCTGTACTGGGCAGTAGGAAGTCTTCCTAGGGAGGCGCGTGTCACATTTGCCATAGGAAACGCACGAGGCCTCGAGGACTTGCATGTACCTGCCTGTGGACGCGAGGATTTGCATGTACCTGTCTGCTGAACTGGCTCCCCACCCGCAAACGTTGGACTCCAGCTCCACTTGCTTCTTTTGCGGCTTTGAATGTGCCGGCGGGGTTTTATGTATTTTCTTGCATCATCATCATCATCATTATTATTATCACCATTAACCAAACCAAATCATTATATAATCAACCTTCACCCCCTGTTCGCTATGAGGGTGGGGGATGAAGGCAGTTCCGTTGTTGACGCGTGCTTCTGCGACGGTGTACCGGTGGGCCTTGTGCTGCCACTTGGCCCTTGTTCCGCTGCGCAGGTGATTCCCGAGCGGTGCTGTGCCGGGCAGGAAAGGCCATCCAGCTCACGGACGACCACAAGCCTGAGCGGGAGGACGAGGCGGTGAGTGCGGCGGGACGGCGACTGACGGGCGTGGGGGGGGGGGTCAGGTGGGGACGAGGCTGGCAAAAGGGAAGCTGCCCTGCTGGGAAAGGGAGCCCAACATTTCTCAGCACAGGTCGGTGGCGGTGCGTACGTAGGGGGGATATCATCATATGCGAGGAAGTGGGAAGTGAACTGCTGACGGTGGGTCCAAGAGGTCGGAAACTGCCCCTAGTGAGCCGTAATCGGTGATGTCATGGATCCGTGTGGGGTTCGGGCAGGGGCAGGGCAGGGGCACACACAGGCTGGCAGCATCTGAGAGGCGGATTAGGGCGGCCCCAGTGTCCAGGTGTTCAGTTGCCGCGTATCCCGGGCGGTGGAGCAGCATCTGTAGTGGAGCGATGGCGCAGAGAGGAAATTATTTCACATCGTTGGAGGCCAACACAGCGCAGCGTAGATCGGCTAACGAACACGGGCATGAACAATTGCTTTGTCCGTAATGGTTGATTGCATGCGAACCGGTCTGGTCAGATGTCGTTTCCTGCATGTTTTCAGCTCAGTCTACGCGGACGACCCAACTTTTGACCCTCCTTGACTTAAAGAAAGAACCCAATCTGACGCTTCCATACTCTCGTTTTTCCTCGTTTGCTCCCATATTCGTTCATTGCTTGATAGGGGCTTGCCTTGGCATTCCCTGACTTACCAATCCTTCCGTCAACTTCCTCCTTTTCCTTTCGAGTTTGCAGGAGCGCGTGGAGAAGGCTGGTGGCCAGGTGCTCTACTGGAATGGCCACCGAGTGATGGGAGTGCTGGCCATGTCGCGTGCGATTGGGGATCATGGGCTGCGACCTTACATCATTCCAGAGCCGGAGGTAGGAGTGCGCGGGGGGGGAGGGGGAAGGGTTGAAAAAGGAACGGTTGGAAAAAGGACATTGGGTAGCCTGGAAAGCTGCTTGAAGCCGGGGGATACAAGCTGTGTCAGGGCTTCTGTGGCTTGGTACGCATGTGTGATCCCAGGATCCAATGATACCAGTCCCGGAGGATCCAATGATTCCGATTCCAGGATCTGATCTAATGTGAGATGTTGTAAGGAAAAGGGGGAAATTTGGCGGGAGGGATGGTTTGGTGTGATGTCATGGAGCCTATAGGGGCTGGTAATGCTCTTGCTGCTGCTTTGCAAGAGCTATTTCAAGGCTCAAGGATTGATCCGGTCTGAGAGCGTAAAAAACGCACGCACACGAATCTCGTATATGTGGGCTTCAAATCCGGGTGCAGGACGCGGAAAGGGGTTTGGGGTTTTGCCGTTTCCCATGTCACATGTGCATACGTATGATTTTCCATCATCGTCCTTTCACAGGGCGCACACGTGCATATCACCGCACACATTTTTCCGTACTACACGATTTTTCCCTTGAGAACGATACTGAAATACGTTGCAAACGGGGCGCCGTGGTATCATGAGTACACCAACCCCCGTTACGTTGGGGAGGGCGAGGGTTATGCAAGGGTATTGCTTCTAATAGGTTCTGGTATAGGTCTTTGAATTGGAGTAGTTTGGATCGTAATCTTGACTAGAACTGGAAACTTGAGTGGGATTTGAGTTGCAGCCAGGGCTGGGACCTTGTAAGGTAATTAAAAAGCGTTGGAATATGTAAGGGGGCGGTGACGGCGCCGCTGCCGGCGCCTGCGGATGCAGCATTCCTTGACGTTAGATGAGAGGGCGCTACGCTACGTCTTGGCACGGCGTGCTACCGTTGCGGGCCCTGTCGTGTCTCCGCGGTCGCTGCTTTACGGCGTGTGGACAGATATGCGTTTTATCCCACCTGTCTGGGCGTCTTCCTGTCGTACGTTGTCAGGGGATGTGTCCTCTGTCCTACTTCCTACCTACCTACCTACCTATCTATCTACCAACCTACGCTGTCGGTCATATGTCTCCCTCACTTCTTCCCTCCCTCCCTCTATCGCACGCGCGTGTGCGTGCGTGTGCGCCCTCTTTCCGCCCTGCTTTCCCCCTCCCCTTTTTGCGCTCTATGTCCTGTGTGCGTGTGCACCCACTCTCTACTCTCACGTTTGCAAGGTCTCGGTTGTTTGCCGCACTGAGGACGACGACTTCCTCCTGCTAGCCAGCGACGGCCTCTGGGATGTCATGGCGAACCAGGTACGTCTGTACATTCGCGCATACGTATATACATACGTGGGCACGTGTGGCGCCAGGCGCAACGTCGCAACGACGTGTCCTGTCGCTCTGCTCCATCCTGGAGGATGGATTGGGAAAGGGCTGGTTTAAAAGTCCTTCCGGGGCCATCCGCGGCCGCCAAATGACAGCAAAGGTGTGGCAGCATGATGCCACATGCAGTTTATCCTATATCCATTTATAATGCTTAGAGCGGAGACGGTTATCGCATCATCTGCAGGTCGCGCAACGCCCAAAAAAGTTCATGTCCATGACGATGATGATGATGATGATGATGATGATCACGACCCTTCCCGTCGTGACAAAAAGAAGGGGTAATGCACGATGAGGAACTATGGTCGAACGGCCCTCGCCAGCTCTCTCCGCTTAGGATGCGACGTAAATTGCGAAGAGGGGGAAAAGCCCTTGGGGCCGTTGCGCAAAGATAGTCATGGGAAGAGCCTGAAGAGGGTGAAGGGGTGCTCTGGGCGTACGTTGCAGATTTCTCTCCCCCTTGTGTTTGTGTGTTTGTGTGTGTGTGTCGGATTACCAAGGAAAGGAAAAAAACAGATGTGACTGTCCTTGGGAGGGTTTGAAGAACAGACACATAGAAAACCCAATCTTTTCCCACTATACGTTTGTGCGACTTTTCTGCTGCTGGTGGTGGTGCCGGTGTTGAAACGCGCCTCTCTCCCAGATGCATCCTGGGAGCGAGGAGAAGGGAGCTCTATTAAAATTAATAGTAAAAATCGGCGTGAACAGCGTTCGTGCACAGCTATTATTAAACAACGGGAGAAGATATTAAACAACGGGAGAAGATTTTTCAAGGCAGAGCATGGTTTTCAAATCAAATCTGTGGGACGTGCGGCATGTATTCTATTGGCCCTGCTCCCCTGCGCTCTGACCTCCCTGGGGTGACCTCCGGAACCACGCGCGGACTTCTGAGCTCGCATCCGCACCGTAGCTGCACTTTCCGGGTTCAAGTCTTAGATCGCCTCCGCTGCCAAGGTTTTGGGCCTCGAGTATTCATAAAAGGAAGATTCAACGACAACTGCTCCAAACTATTGCCCCCTGTTGCGGAAAAAATGACGATACCAAGTGCATCCCCCGCCTTGGCAGCATTAAAACTGAAACAAAAACTACCTGCCTTCAGGCGGGGTTACTAACATTACAAGGGCCACCGCCGTTTCTCTCTTTAGGCATTGTGGTTGGGCCGCTCTAACCCAAAAGCTGGTTTCCGAGCCTCCGTAACTTGCTACACACAGCATCGCGGCGGTGAACTGCTGCTACTGCTGCTGCTGCAGCCGTGTCATTATATTGCCGCGGCGCCGCTGTATTGCGCATGTGTGCGGCACCCCGCTGCCTCCGTCTGTCGCGGCGGCACACTACCTACACCCATCCATACCACCGCAAAACACCCATGTGTGTTGCGCAGGAAGCGACCAACTTGTGCATCCGCTGCATCAAGCGAGCACGTGAGAAGGGCGCTTCTCGTAACGCGGCTGTTCGCATCGCGGCATCTGTTCTGACTAAGGCCGCTATAGACCGGGGCAGCAAGGACAATGTCACTGTGGTGATTGTGGACTTGCGCAACGACCGACCTGGCGCCGGTGGTGCCGCAGCGCCAGCACCGAGCGATGTGGGTGGTGTCGTAGACGCGGCGCCGGGCAGGGCCAATTCGGCCAACGGCGTCGGGGGCGCTGTTACTGCGCCAGCGCCGGGGGCTATCCCGGAGCGGATGTGCACAGGATGGGTTGAGGGATGAGTTGCGTTCGGGGCTCACGTGTGCTTTTGTTGTATACACGTATGCTTGCGGTCCATGTGTGGTATAGGACAGAGGCGATAGCAGTGTGTGCATTATTGCTGCTGCAGCACTGCGAGAGCGGCAACAGCGGCAGCAGCAGTGGCAGCAGCAGCACACGGATGGGCGGACAGACGGATGAACAGACTGACAGAGACGCGTGATGCGATACAAAATGATGCACGTTGTCGTGGTGTGGTGGTAGCGGTATTCGTGCTGCTGCTGCGGCGGCGGCGGCGGCGGCTTGTTTCTTTTGCGCCACGCTCTCCGTGTTGCAAACTGGGCAGGGTATTGAAGGAAAGGAAGGAAAGAGCTGCTTTTGATATGCCGCTGTTTCTGCGACTTCGACAGCTACGGCTGCTGCAGCTGCTGAGGGTTCCCCTCCTGTGTCACGTACGACAGTCGATTGAGAAGACACGTCGTCATACCTTAGCTTATTCTTCTGAGTTATGGCCGAGCGCACTGATCGTTCTGTTACACTCCCGTCTGCAGCTTGCTGTGTGCGTCCCCGGTGTTGCTGTAGCAGCAGCGGAGCCTCACTTGGCATGCCTTGAGCAGTGCAAAGGAGGTATGTTGGGGGATATGTTGCCTTCTGTTGGTGCTGCGCGCCGGGTTGCTGCTGTAATGCTTCGAGGGAATGCGCGGTATGTATGTCTGTGCGTGTGTGTGGCCGTTCCCTGTGGTTTGGGGTCCGTTTGCGTGCTTGTATGTATGTATGTATGTACGTATTGTGTCTGTAGCTGTGGCTTGTTTAATGGTTTTCACTTCTGGGTCTGTGTGTGAAGGGTCTGTGTGTGAAGTTATGTGCGTGTGAATGTGCGCAGAAACGAGAAGGCTTGAACCGAAGGAGGCTAAGCGGGTTTGCGCATGGCACGCATTGTGGCTGAGCCATCCGTCGCTGACAAGAGTGCGAGTTTGTTTTCATTATGTATGGCATTACTACTGCTGCTACTTCTACTGGATGGGTGGGATATGGAAGAGACACAATCACACACACGCAAACACGCGTTTTTTCGGCAGGATGGCATAGTCGACCCGCCGGCGGCATACACGCTTGCCGACAGACATGATAGTAGCTGTAGGGGCGTTTTTAAACGGTTGCGAGTCGCGCGCACTCAAACTGGAGTGGCTTGTGGTGGAAAGGAAGAATAGTGCGCACGAGTCCCGGAGTATCGCAATTAATGCGCTCCCGACCACTCTATCCTCTTTTTAAGAGGCAGACATTTCAACATGGATAGGGATTGCCATCCCGGTGTTTAGCCACGCTCTGATGGTTGTCGTGTGGTGGCGTGTGGGTGTGATGTATGTTGGTCTGACTCCCACATTTCTTCTCGCGGTTGTCGAGCGGTATAGTTGCATTTTCGCAGCATGTGTGTTGTACAAACCGTTGAAGCGGCGGCAGGAATAGTTATATCCTGCTACATAGACACACGCGCTGCTGATGACGCTTTCAATGAAAGCACGTATTCCGATGTCTTCGAAGGCAACGCATGACCACGCAGCGCAGCTGTCAGGTGCACAGCTTAAGCCACATATCCTCGCGTGGCATAATTAGTATATGATTTGTTTGGCAAGCAGGACATCGGTAAGAACACTCTGCTAATATGTATGGAAGTTAATATGTGGCAATAAAAATTATACGCCAGCAAAAAAGGTCACTAGTGATGCGATAGCTGTCCCCACTGGAACATCAACATTGCAAAGTCGCTGCGTTAGCTTTAAACGACATCACCAATCATCAACAAGAAATATGCCGCGCTTCTCCCCTCACAGTTGGCATATGACTCGCATACAACTCTAGAAACAAACTATTTTTGTTTTGTTCGTGTCATTTGCCGTTACATACCGGTAACTATCTGTTATCATCTAAATCGACACCAACAGGCCAACATCTACCACACAAGACGTACAAGTCTTGAGCCAACCACCCATCCACTCAATCACCATGACAAAATGATCAAATCCAAGACAAGAACCCGAAAAGAGCGACATATCTTCACACCGCCCTGTCATCCACTTCCTCGACTACACCCAACACTGCATCCCCATCGATACTGCTGCAGTGGGTGCTTCGCAAGGTAGTTACTCGGCTCCCCTTCTTTCACATCATAACATAAGATCCCCATTCAGCACCAATTCATCACTCCATACACACCCTGCCACACTCTAAGTTTGGGTCGCTCTCCCGCTTCTCTTTCTGCATACCTGGTTATGTCTTAAGACATATGTACACACATACATACACACATACATACATACATACATACATACATACATACATATGGCAGGCGGCTGGCAGAGGTTAAGGCCTGACTTCTGCTCCCAGTCGACCCAGTCGACCCGGGTTCAAATCCGCCTGCCGGCTCCTCGGGTGTTTGAGGAGTGATGAAATGGGAGGTGGCCCCCCATCTTATGGACGGTGTAGGACGTGATAATATCAACTTGCGAGCTGACCAGGAACTAAGTTGATGCGCCGTTGATCCGCTAGATTTGGTTGGATGCTGGTGGTGAGTTGCCGAACCCAACGAATACATTCTGAAGTCGGATGGGGTGACGGATTAGGGTGCCCCTCTAGCAGGGGAGAGCAGGGACTGCCCCGGGAAAGGGGGCCGCTGGCGAAGTTGACCACCCTGTAACAACATACATACCCACTCAGGCCGGAGGGATTTCCGCTTCAACTGGAGCTCCGCGCCGCTTCAACGGGACCCCTCCCACCCAACCCCGAGCCTTATTAAGGCATTCCCGTATTGTTATACCCTCCCTCGGCAAATAAAAGAAAGCTTCACAGCTACAATCCTGTAAACTTGATGCATACGTGACATGCATGCAAGCGCACACACAGCGCTCTCACATACACACATGCATGCGCACATTCAGAAATACATACATGCATACATACGCACCGCTCCGTTCATTGTGGAACACACACACACACGGATATACGAACGTACATACATACATACGTACGTACACACACGCTGGAGCTCCCTCAACTCGCCACAGGGTGCCCTACCAATACAACCACCACGACCTAGGGTACCGCCCATCACGGACATCAGCTAGCCGCCACTCGCAGCTGCTCCACACCCGCCGTTACCAGGCCCTGAATCGCATTCTCCGGAGCCATCGCCGCGTGGTGGTCTCCAGCCGCAGCAGCCGCAGCAGCCTGCAACCGCAACTGCTCCAACTCCGCCGCAACCTCCTTGTCGTACTCGTGCATCCGGCTGCCGTACTTCCCATGGTCGTACGCGCATCCCGGCAGGTTGCCGCCCATGCACTGCTCCACTTGATCAATGTCGAACCTGCAGGGAAGAGGAGGAGGAAACGGAAGACCAGGAGGCGCCGGAAAGGACGGCGAAAATTAATGGCAAGAATATGGATAATAATCACAAAAACGGCTTACTAAAGATAGCAACATACATTAAAACAAAAATGGCAAGTATAAAAAATTCGGAATATGCTAAACATATTGCCAGGGAATATGTATACTAAGAGATAATGCACAAATGCACAAACGTTTTGCTGTAAAATAGCTTTTTCCTGGACATCCCTCAAAACCAGTCTCCAAGATCCTCTCCTACTTTTACCCCAACCCCCTTGCGCCTGCAACCCCGTAACCCAAACACAACCCCGGGCCCGTATTCGGAAATTCGGAAATGTTCGTTGGGGTTCGTTTGCCGTTTGCAAAACCACCAACCGACCTGGTGACCATTTGCTCCCGCTCATGTGCGCCCTTGTCCACAAAAATTATCTTCTCCTTCGTGACCGGATCGATGAAAGGCTGGACTGCCTGTGGGTCCGTGCACGCGCGTGCCCGTGTGTGTATGGGTTGAGTGTGTGTGTGTGTGTGTGTGTGTGTGTGTGTGTGTGTGCGTGTGCGTTTTTCAGGAGGAGTTTTGCAAGGTGACGTGCAAGATATGCTGTTACTAGATGCTACTCCTAAAGAACCTGATTTCCGTAAACCTAAAGCCGCGAGCGGTGTGCGTGTGCGTGTGTGTGTGGTAATACGCACCGATGCACTTCTCCGCGCGAGGCCGATTTTCCCCTAAAGTAACGTGTTGCTGTTTATATGTCCCAACTCCTCAGAGGCCTATCTTTTCCGCACACCCTAGGGTTCCGGAATTCACTCATGCAGGTAATATCTGTTCCCAAACACCTTCACCTACGTTGTGCTACCACCGTACACGCGCGCGAATGATGAACTCAACATCCGCACCAACTACCCTAACTACCACCACCCGCCACACGCACCTTCCACGTCATGGAGAACAGCATGGGGGCGTGGTAGCAGCACGCCAGCCCGAGTCGTTCCGGGTAGTGGTTGGCCAGAATGGAGTTGCAGTGTAGACTGACTTTGAGGGGTGGGGCGTTGTGCATCGTGTAGCCGTTGAAGTCAAGTAACCAGGTAAATTTTCCCGCGCCTGAGCGATAAGCAATTTAAACAAGATTTTTTAGGCAAGCTGAAACATTTCAAGAATCCCTAAAAAAGTATATCCTAGGTTTTGTATCAAGAAACTTCCAACTATACGGAAAGTGTAAGGGGAGGAGGACGAGGGGGAAGAGGAGAAGAGTAAGGAGGAAGTGTGGAGGAAGCGAAGGATGGAGGGGATGAGATAGGGTGGCAAAACAGAGCGAGGGGAAAAGTGGGTGGGTGGAAGAGCAAAACCTAGCACGACGAGCTCCGCTGCACATTTCGCTGTTTCGTTTTTTTTCCCTCCACATTTCTTCCTCCTCCGTAATTTCGCGTGTCCGCATGTCAACGGACCGGATGCAACTCACTTGCATTTTCCCCGTAACTCCAGTTCCCAGGATTTGCAAGACCATAATTCACTTCGATATAAGCAGAGCCCTTAGCCCTCATCAAATTGGGCTCACCATTTTTATCCGCCATTCGAGAGGCGACCTCCAAGATGTAGATCAGATGCCGGATTTGCTTTTCCGTCTCCTTTGTGTTTTGGTTGCTGTACGGCCAGTGTAAAGCCCATATATGGGGAGAAGGACAAGGACGCGTCAAACAAGAAGACAGACGTGGGAAACATACCCGCTAGCGGTGCCCGTGCGGTAAAGAGAAACCAGAGTTCAGTTTGGTCAGGTCTGCCTATAGGTTAAGGGGGGAGCTCAACACCATCCAGGATGATGACAGACACCAAGACGCTGCGTGGTGTTCCTAGGACAGCATCAAACAGATAGCTGAACGTGGCGTCTGCGGAACAGGCTGTGCAGGGGGGATGTGGAAAGTAGCATTTTCCTTAAAAGGCCGGTTTGGTTGGCGGCAAGGCCAGACCATGTATTGACCAGAGAGACCGCAATGATGAGGGTGTCATAACAACACCTCTACAAAACCTTGGAGTATGCTTGGCTGCGCTGTGAGGCAAGGTGTTGTGTCATTCGCTAACCCACCGTGGTCTCATCATGACAATGGGTCGCCCAGCCTTGTCTTGGACATGGTAGACCCATAGCTTTCCAGATGATGACTCTGACTGCACTTCCTCCCATTTTATGAGGTGTGGTTTGTACTCCAAGCGCCTGCGTATGCTCTAGCGGTTGGGTGGGAAACCGCAGCAGCGGAAAATGCCCCGAACAGCCGGTATCTTACCATTCGAGCGTCGCTTTCAGCATTTTGGAGGCCTTATGCAGGTTCCAGCCCCTGCGGTTGTTGCGTTTCCGGCAGCAACGCGCAAAAAGTTCCATTCGTGAGTCCAGCACGCACGCGTCACGTCTACAGTGCCGAAGCGTACGCGATTAGCTCACAGCATACCTCGCTCGAAGATAGCGAACATACGTGTGTTCATTGCAGAACTGTTTCAAGCAAGCATGCTGTGCAACTATTGGGGCAACCTCGGCTTTCAGCTGCTGAACAAGGTGCCGCTCATGATCAGTAAGATCACAGACAGTCATGGTTCCCTATCGATTATAAAAACACTCTGTCCAGCGTGCGAATGCAGGTCGTTCGCCAAAAATCTCAGATAAGAGAACCATGCGCGTACGTTACAGCTGCTTACGGTACCAATATGTGAGCCTAATATTTTAATGAGCAACAAAGGAAGAGTGAGCCTTGACGTACATTTCCTGCCTAAACGTACGATGTTAAACTTTTCCTACCCAGCGCATGAGCAATTTGACGAAGCGGGAAGGTGAGCAGCTATCTAAAGTTCACAGGAATCAGCAAAGATTTGGGAAAGAAGCTCAGGCATCGCCGCCTCTTTTCTTGGCTTGCCTATGCAAGTCGCTTTCCCGACGCCTATACATGCTTGCCCGCCTCAGCTCTGTCCTATGGCCGCGGCACAGATGTAGCCTGAAGGGCTGAGCAAGAAACGGCGCTGTTCAGCGCTATTTAGGAACGACCACGTGGACGTCACACCCTCTCAGCTTTCGCAGCTTTCGGAAAGACACTTATTGCGCAAACCTAAGCAGCGGCAAGACCGCAATAAAACGATACTTCTTAGAGCACTTTTTCTTCCCCGCTCTATCCACCCACAGATGCCGTAGGCCTTTCAAAGGTGAGCCGCTCTGCGAAGCTGCTGCCTTGCGGCAGACTTGCGCTTATCGTACCGCCAGCCACCACCTTTAGCCGCCACTGCCACCACTCCGCACGCAAACCAAACGCCAGCCGCAGGCCAGCTGAGCAACCAGGTATCGCGAAGGCTATACCTGTGCGTCCCTAAGATTATCTTACGCTCAAAACATCGCCCAAAAACACACGCATACACATACACACATGTACGGCATGTGTAGACAGCGGGTGCACGGATGATAATCATTTCCTGTGCACTAAAACAAGGTTCAGTTGTCTATCTTTTCACAGACGGACGCGAGCAGGCTAGTGCAGAAGAAGCATGTGCAAACGCGAAATACATCAGAAATCCTCAGCGAGTAAGGCCGGGAGGGCACTATCCTACCTGAGCCGCCGGGCACCATACGTGCGCTGCTGCGAGTGTGTTTTTCCCCCTGGCTGCCCCCAAGTGCCACCTGCCGCCCGCCTGGTTACTTTGTATGACGCACCTGAAGGATTTGTCGTACGCTCTCGTACTAAATTAATACAGAGGATAGGACAGGGGTAGGACGGGAGTAAAAGCTGTAAAACATAACGCTTTAAAACTATGCCCCCCAGGCAAGCAGGAACTCGGTTTAGAGTTCCTGCTTGCCTGGGGTTTGCCTCGGTTTAGAAATTGGTGGACATGTTAGGGTGATACAGATTCATCTCACGAAACGGAGCGGAGCAGCGGTTGGCGAAACCCTGAAGTCACGTCAGGGGTTGGCCTCAGCAGGCTTTTCAGGATTAATCCGTACCTTTGAACCTTTGCAATCCCCCCCCACCCCCCGGCCATCAGGATGGCAACTGTTGGGCTGTACGGCAGGTCCCTTGACAAGATTCTGTGCTCACGTGGCTGAGGAAGTCCATCGATGCGAACATCGGGAACTCCCTGACCTCTTGAAGCGAGGGTTGCACGGGATGATGCACGGGATGCTTTCGTACGTTTCCGTACATTCGAGTCAGTGGTGCCCATCGGGTGGCTCATCCGGTTACGTGTGTGGGGTGTCATGTTTAAGTAATATGAGCTGCCGCGATTCGGGAACAGGCCGAAGGTGTGTATGTGTGTGTATGTGTGTGTATATGTGTGTATATGTGTGTATGTGTGTGTATGTGTGTGTATGTATGTATATTATGTGTATGTATGTATATGTATGTATGTGTGTATGTGTATCTGTTACATATTGATCCGGGTCTGACGCTGGCCAGGGGCACCTAACCGTACCCCAACGGGAAGGAGCGACCGCCGAAGCAGTCCATCATTGGAGGGGCGTTATGTCGGTCAGAGTCCTAAAACCGTTCTCCCTTATCAACGCAAGGCGCCGTCACCTGTTCGAATCCTCTAGCCAATTATATACACACACACACATTCGGCCATCAGCTCAGACGCCAAGCAACCTCCGTTCCACCGAGCGCATGCTCAACATCTGCGCGATCTACCAACGCACTCATACCAGTGCCAATCGCGCCACCCTATCCTTGCGGATCCTGCCGCCGCCCGGTTTCGTTATCCAACCACCATCTGGTATACAGCCCCTGGTCCGGGCCCGATGCAGAATCATCCCTCCACCGCTGTTCTGCGACAGTATCTATAGATCTTCATGGTGAGCTCCCACTCCAGCCGCCCCGCACCTGTGGAAGGTTACAAGTATCTATCTGACCGGGCCTGACGACACTGGCCACAGAGGGACGGCTGCCCAGCCCCAACGGAAAGACCGCCTAAGCTCTCTCCCTAAGCGGACGCGGGAAGAGGGGCACGAGGGGCCTCTGGCCCTTTCTAAGCAGCCGAGAGCCGCAGGTCCGCTAGCAGAGTGTGTGTGTGTGTGTATATGTGCTGTACCTGAAGAGTTGCATGACCCGCCAAGCACGTAACAGATGGCCTAACGCCGCGCACCTCTCCACAACAAACGCAAATGCGACAACAGTCCTTCAGTGCTTGGAGATGAAAAGCTCGCGATATATGTCCCGAAGCGGGAAAGAGGCCGTTGGTAACGAAAACCATCATGGGTTGTGTGCGTGCATGCGTGCATGCATGTATGTACGTGCGTATGTATGTATGCATACAAAGTCCTGTATGGTTCTTTCTCTCCCCCCCCCCCACGGCTCCCCGCAGCCGCAGTGGCCCCCATGATGAGGGGCATGACGGGTAGATCACGTCTTCCACCCACTCCCAGCGCGACCGCCGCAGCACGGCCACGATCACCAACCCCACGATTACATTCGTGCCACGACCACCGTCCATAAAATTGTCCCCCTGGATAGTCTATACATTGCCCCCCGGAACAGATCGATTATGATTATTTCTACCTTTATTGCACAAGGGACACGGCCTACGTAGACGATACAAAAATCTACAAAACAGATGGCGACCAACTCAATCACTGCCCTTCAGCCGCCGCTATCATCCCCCACCAAACACACTAGCGAACTTCTGGTTGCCCTCCTAATTGATTTACAAAGGCAAAAACATCATGTTTTGCAGCATTTGCAGCGTTTACAGCCCCAGCCATGTTCCCAACCTAACTTGGGCTTGAAGCCAAGGCCCCCCGGGATCCCACAACCCACAATGACGAACCTAGCTCCAGGCATATCGGTTACCCCAGAGCTCCGTACTAGTACGACATCAGGCCTGGCTTGCCCGATTAGTAGCAGCACCCTCACAGCCAGGAAGCTAGTAGATGAAATAGGCAGGTAGACAGATGGCCAAGCAAAAAGACGGCCAGGAAAACGGCCGAGAAGAGATGCACGGAAGCGATTGCTCAAAGTGTGTGCTATGTTAGCAGCAGTTGGTGTTCCAGCAGAGGTGCCGCAGGGGGGCGATTGGCCGCCCCTCAACATCTTGGACTCCGCTCCTCAGCAGCCAGTCTGAGCTTTACCCCGCCCCACAAGCCACGCCCTGGGTCGCGGGAATTGTACGGCACACAGTAATATGACACCTCGTCATGCAAGTTTTGATTTTGTGCGCTCGCTGCACTTTTATGCCCTGCAGCTATGCCGATACGCATACGCACATACGCACATAAGCTCTACGGTAAAGTAGCGTCAAAGCCCATACGTGCGCAGTCCCGGCCGATACTGCTGATACCCCCCCTCAGATGATGCCCTCCACCGCACCCCCAATACTCACCCGCCCGATCTTCATCCCATCCCGCCGCTCTCCACCCGGCACATCCCTCCCGCCCAACTACCCACCAAACTAACCTACCCAATTACCCATCTGCCTCGCCCACCTGCACCGCCCACCCGCCCTTCCCACCCGTCCTTGCCATCTGCCGCCGTGTCCCCCTGTACCCGCAACCCCGGTGCGTCATGCAAATACACACTTGTACTGCCATAGGGTGTTGCTGCTGCGGGGAGCTCCCATCAGGGGCCTCTTCCCCCCCTACGCACATCGGCCCTGCCTGCCTGTCATTATGCCGCACACAAAGCGGCCCTTCGTTCTATTGCCCGGCCCAGCACCCGCAAAAAACACCTCACAGCATAATGAAGGGGCTCTTCGAATTTCTTTGGTTTAGATGTAATATACCCCTTCGTCTCATAGCTTCTGCTCCCGTGCATCCCCCGTTACCTTTATCTTGGTACTTCATCGCCCCGCCCATGAGCCGCCCATGTACTTCCCACTCCGACATCTTCTTTCTCAACCTCTACTGCTTTCTTCGTTCTCTTCCTTTAAAATAAAGTTAGGATCGGAGCGTGTGCCGCAGACGTGTGCCTCTGTAGCCGTTGCAGTTGCCCTCGCACATCTCACATCCGAACAGCACCCCTACTAAAACATACACATAGACACACATACACACGCACACACACGCGCGCGCGCGTGCGCATGCGTGTGCACACGTTAGAGCACTGAGGGACCTGCGTGAGCAAGTGGAAGCAACTGTCCGTGACGAGCGCTTCATTAAAAAAGCAGTACGGCGAACGACGCGACACACATGCAAGGGCGAACATCACTCGCGACCATTACGTTGCGCTACGTGCCGAGATACAGAACCGGAATGGGAAAAGTAATTCACATCTCCTGTCTCTCACACAGTCAATAAATAGCCTTCGAAACAGCAAAATGCTATAAATGCTATAAAACCTCACAACAACACACACTTTTAGAGCCTTTTAGTGGGGGCGCGCTGCAAGAGAGACACAAGAACCGAAACGTGCGCGGGGGACATTAGCGGCAGCCGCAACGACCTGAAGCCGGCAAGAGATCACGGCAACCGAAGCACACACATACATACATACATACATACACACACGCACAACCGCTGACGACGGCAGCGAATATTTTGGCCCTTGTGACATTTGCAAAAACAAAACCCGTCACTTCGCATCACATTGCGGAGGGAGAAAAGGAACAGGAAACGGAAACTGCACCCGAACGGCTCCTGAACAGGAAATCCCGGAAACTAGCTGATAGAGTCCCGAGCACACAAAATAATCATAAAGCAATTAAGTCAACGAAAGCAGGGCGCAGCTGGAAACTTTCCCGCACCCTAAAGAGCCAAATGACCCGTCTGGTTGGCTTTGTTTTGCTAAAACTACAGAGACTAAGCAGTTAAAGTCTTGGTGGATGCATCTAAACCATGGAAAGGCCGGAGCAATCCAACAATGTTCAAGTCCACATTGCGGCACTACCCCTTCATAATTTAAACACCTAAAACACCTTCAGCCACTCGTTCCATGTCCGTGGGGAACCATGCGCACAGCAACGTATGCCAACGATGATCTCCAGCGCTGTAGTACATGTATGGGTTCGCCTGAATGACGTCAAAAGATAGCACGGCACACACGGTCCGTACGACATGTACGGCGCAACCGGTTTATGCCGTACTTGCCAAGCGGTGAAGCTATTGCGCTGTAGCAAACATCCACTTGCCTGGAGCGGAGAGAGAGACGTTTGTTTTTGTTATCGAGCGGCAACATCAACTACACCCTTCCCCCCGAGCTCCTTGCATGATCGGCATTTGCTCATCAGATCGCCGTACATCTTCCCGTACATCACCTCTCCAACCCCCGTTCCCGGTACGAAAAGACGCCTCCGCACGCGCACATTGTGTTCGAACGCGATTCGTTCTCCCGCCAGTCAAATCGTATTGCAGGTCGGACCCATATGACCTTCAGCGCGCGTCTGGCTCACAAAGCCCAGTCCTTGAATTGTAGTCGCTGTGGAGCAGTCATCTGGAGCTACAATCGAATTCGGGAAAGTTGTGGACTCGTGGTAATGGCATAATACAAGCAACAACACACCTTGCACGCAGCCCTTTATCAGGACAGTAACTTCCGCAAAACAAATTTACAACTAGGAGGATTACGGGGATGGGCCCGCTTTACGTTGACAGGGGCGACAATACATGGAAAAAAGATGGAACACACAACGCCATAAGGCCCTGATCAGGTTGTCTAATGTTAATTCAGTTAAAAGCGCGGAAGAGCTGTTTTTTTCCTTTCACTCGTTCACCAGAGCTATTTAATCTCAACAACACCACAATGCAAAAAACTGATATCTAGTTCACTACTCAGCAAGAAAACCGCCCACCGCAGAGCAGGGGTATACGGTCATCATAAAACACGATCATAAGTAGTAACAGTAGGTATTACAGTTGTTACAATCAAAACCGCTAATAACAGAACGGCTCTATTGAAGCTACATGAAACCGCCTTTTCATGCACCCATATCGACAACTCAACCAAATCCAAAAAGAAGTCGAACCAATTTTCTTTTGCTCTTCGTTGCACTCCAAATGTACAATTGCGCGCTACTGCGCTATGTCGAAATCGCGCTCCTCCATTGCAACATAACTGTACTCGCTTTTTGTCTATATTTCAAGTATCCGAGTATCATTTTAGTGCCGTAACGCCGAGCAGCCAGGAAGATCCTTATGGAACAGATCTGAAGTCTTGGTTTTGGAACGGTTGATCCATGCAGCTGAATTGTCTAAATTAAACGGTTGAGTTCCAGTCCATGTTTTAACTAACTTTTATGTGGTTGGTTGCTTGGCTCAGGTGTGGTGTGGGCGGTTGGCGACGCAGGTTTTGGTTATTGTGAATGTGATGGTGGTTGCGGTTTAGTTGCGATTCGCAGCGTAATTTCTTTTTAGATGCTGGAAAGAATCGCAGCAAAGATTGCGGATATTGCGGATATGTCGCCACAGCCGTCGCCACAGCCGTCGTCGGTTGGTGTTGCTTAGATAAGCACAACGGGAAACGGCAGCGCTAACGGCAGCGTTAACGGCAGCGTTAACGGCAAGAACCCTCCAGCTTACACGCCCGAGCAGCCCAACCCCAATGACCTCACACTGCCTCTGCTACTGCTGCTCCTTTCCCCCCTCCCTCCTCAGGGCAACGGTTCGTTGGTCCTACAGCCCAACCAACTCATCTCCCGTGTTGCCGCCGTTGGCGGTTGAGGCAGTTAGCGGTCCGAGACTTCCCGTGGGAAAGACGCTACCTCGCAGGGGCAGAAGGGCGTCGGGAGATTCGAAGGCAGCGGGGGAGTGAGGTGCGACCACAGCGGCGTTGGCGTTGGTGGCAGCGGCGCCGCCGCCGCCGGAGACCAGGGCTCTAGCGGCGTTGGCGGCGGCGAAGGTGGAGGAGCTTGCATGCGGATCCCCGGCAGTAGTGTTCCCGATGCCCAGCAAACTGCTAGCCTGCGCGTCCAAGGAAAAGGGCGCCGCCGATATCGCGGATCCAGCTGATGCCGTACCGGCAGCGACGGCACGTTTCGCCGCCGTCGAGGTGGTGGTCGGAGCCGCCGCCACGTCATCAAGGGGCCCTGCAGTAGCAGCAGCGGCTGCGGCTGCAGCGTCGGTGACGCCGCCGGAGGCGACGGCCCTCGACGTCACGCTTGCGGGAGCTGGGCCTACCAGTGGGGCGCCGTCACCTGACGCTGCCGCCAGTGGCGGCGACGCCAGTGGCGGTGACGCCAGCGGGCCTAGCCCCGTGCCCAGGGGGCTTAGGGCTGTGACATTCATAGAGCCGGCTTGGGGTTGAGACAGTATTGGGGATTCAGCAAGGCGCGCCGAAGCCTTGACGCCGCCGCCGTCACCCATCCGTACGGCAGCCCGCGCTGCCGGGCCCGCCTCCCTGGAAAGGGGGCTTGGTAGCGGCGGCGGGAACGCTTGACGTTGCCCGCTACCTCCCGCACCACTGCCGCCGCTGGCGGCGGCAGCGGCGGCGGCTCCGCCGCCGTGGCTCGCTGCTGCTTGGCCGAGACTCGATGCAACAGTGTTACGGCGCATTACACCTCCGTACACATGTCGTGACGGCAGAGCGGCAGCAGCCGAGGCGGGGGCGGCGCCACCGCCGCCGGCAGCGGAGCAGGCATCCGGCTCTGCAGCCGGCGAAGCGGCCTGAGCTGGTCCAATGCCGGAGAAAGATGACGACATGGCTTTGCTGGCGGCGTGGTGGCCGCCGATGCTGCCATACGACGATCCCGACCTGGCGGTGGCTTGCGCTCGTACAAGCAGACGTTGCAGCATGCTGACAAGTACGGCAGCAGTGGGTCGACGGCGGGGGTCGTCCTGCCAGCAAGCCGTGGCCAGCATCCTGCGGTTCCGTGAAGTGACGGCAGCAGCAATGAACAATGTGCGAAGTTACAGCCGAACAGAGAGTGTACATCTGGCTATCTTATCTAGGACTAAGCAAAATAAAATAAATAATTGTAAAGCTTTAAGCAAATAAATAAAAATAAATAATATAGCACAATAAAAATTAAACAATATAGCACAATAAAGAAAAATAAATATCAAAGAAATGCAGGATATGCAGAGTATGATTTTTGCGCGGATGACGGCGCCGGCAGATGCAGCTGTGACGTACCACAACATGCGCCGCTCGTCGTCAGAGAAGGCACCCAGCAACAACTGATATCCAATCGTGAAACGTCATACAACGTGGACTGTCGTACAGGTGTACGGCAATACACGTACCTGTATTCTGGCGGAACGAGAGGATGGAAGATGGGCCTCAGACCGCGGCGTATCATCGACTGTCGGTGGTTTTCAGTTTTTTCGGTTTTTCGTTTTTTTGAATTGGGTCGTGTTGACGGACCGTGACGAATGTGGAAGGCGAGTGTGGCAGGGATCGGTACGGCATGCAGAGAAAGGGATGGCGAGGGAAGAAGGAAGACAGAGGAGGGCGTCGGTCACGGCGATCTGATGATGTTTCGGACAGAGTTAATAAAATTGAAGATAACGGCAGGAGGAAGGCGGCTTAGTAGTTTGTGCAGGATGAAGTGGTGAGAGGCAAAAATTAATTTAATGATTAAATAAATAAAATAATTAAATATCATAATAATAAACTGCATTTACAGCTGCCAGTACCTATCTACGTGTACGTACACACAGCGTACCGGCAGCTTCTCCTTGGGCACCGTACCGTCGTACAGCGGAGCCACCATAATGAGCTCCCACATAATGATGCCGAATGCGTAGATGCTGCAATACGGCAGGTGTACGGCGGCTATAATGTGAGGTGAGTCGTCATGCGAGGTGTGCTGTGGTAAAATGTAGTGAATAATAAAGTAATATCCTATATCCTCTCCGACAGGCCATCAACAAAAACGTTTTCTCCAGGAGCTTTCCCCCTCTCTCTTTCAGCAACTGATCATCCCGCTGTCCTATCCTTGAGGCATCATACCAGCTGCCCTCTCCTTGTTTTCAACCCACGTCTCTTCAACCCTATCATCACGTCATCGTATAGTCGGCGGACATCAGAGCCGACAACGTCCACATCAAACCGCAAGTAGGATGTTGAGTGCTTTTAGGGTGTGCGTATGTGTGTATGTGTGTATGTGTGCGTATGCGTATGTGTGCGTATGTGTGCGTATGCGTATGTGTGCGTATGCGTATATTAGGGTGTGCGTATGTGTGTGTGCGTGTGCTTTGCACCAATTCGCAGGGGGTTCTCCTACTCCTAAGCGGGCCTAAATAGGCCCTAAACACGCCGTTAGCTTTCACGCTGTGCTAATACTTTTGGGAGCCCATGCAGACATCCGGATCCGGATCCGGATCCGGATTCGGATCTGTTTCTGGATCTAGTTCTCTTTTCCTACCACGCTTGAGCATCGTCGTGGCAAGGCACATTAAGAAACATATGCATATACATATAGCTCCAAACAAAACTTACTCGACACCAGCATCTAGCAGGCCGGCGTGCACAAACATCTCCTAAAGCGCAGCGGCACGGCAGTAAAATGGGCACGGACTTCGTGAGAGCATTGATAGCCAGGAAAGCGTCGTTGGGGGACGGGCGTGTTCAGGGATTTCCCAGGAGAATACACACAAGTACGGAAATAAGAAAATAGCAGCCGCACTGCGAAGAAAAACATATAATGGCAGTCAGGCTGGTGGCTGATAACTCCATCGACATCTCAGCTAGTTCCTCCAGGAGACTAGGAGCCTAAGTTGGCAACAGGTCCGCGGACCCTTTGATTGCACACACATATAAAGCCGTACAATATATACCATGTATATGTACGACAGTCAGCTATGACAAAGGTTGTGCATGACGAAAAGAAGTAGACACGGATTCTGGCAAAGTCCATATAATGCTATACAACAAGACTTGCTTTTTGACCCGTTGAAATATCGTAACTCACCGGGGCCATGTGAGTAAGAGTCCTGAGCTCAATCCGCATGGCCGACGACGCGTGTGACGATTATTATTTTAGATTCCAGTCAGGGCGGGCCGGAAAACATCCGGTCCAGGGATGAGTACATAAAATCAGGTTAGGCTTGGGTGATGGATAAGGGCTGAAAAGTGATCATGTACGTCAAAGGTGTAAGTGGTGGACACGGAAAGAACGGAGATAAGGCCTCCGCGAGTACGAGTGAGGCAGCAATCAGTCAAGGTACGACGGAACAACTGTAACAGCATAGGTGTACAGGAGGAGTACGTGTGGAAATCGATATAATACAACATCAGCGCAATACATATATGGCATGGACAGACAAATCAGTAGTGATCACAGATTCGAGTCAGTTCATGCAAAAAGCATGGCAAGCCCGACATCCCCCTAAACCACATGACCCCTGAACACGCAGCACCCCTGGCTAGCGTCAGGACCGGTCAGATCCTTGTAACCTTCATACACACGCACACACGCACACACGCACCCACACCCCGACACAACCCCCTACACCCATACACACCCTTACACTCATTCTTCCCTTCGCTCACCCCAGTGGCTGCGGTTGCCTGAAGCCCAGTCGACCGTCATCTCCCTCCTCATTCATCACCCGCACACAACCAAAGTCACTCAGCTGGCGGTGGTATGAACCGCGTGAGCCGCCGCCGTCACCATCACCATCACCACAAGCAGTACCAGCAGTAGTAGTACCAGCAGTAGCAGTAACAGTAGCAGTAGCAGTAGCAGTAGTACCACCACCAACACCAGACAGGAAGCAGGAATGAAGAGTTGTGTTTCATGCGGGAGGCGGAGGAGGGCGCGGAAGTCTAATTTGGATAATTTGATTACTGTACAACAGCAACGAGGGAAGGGCTCAAGGGAAGGGTAGGGGGAAACATCTGGATGGCAAAGTCAAGGAGGGAAATGCAACGACGCAAGTGTCCGAGACCTACACCGCGGATTATGTGGAGGGGGGGGCCCGGGAGAGATGTGTGAGGGCCTGCTCGGGTTATACAAAACCCCTTGGACCGTTTGGACCGCAGGCATGCACTGTGAAGGTAAGTTACGTGATGTCTCTGCACATTCGGACGCAGAGGGGGGGAAACACGTGGCAGGGTGCCGGGGGACTGTCCAACTGTCCTCTAAGGGGCGGGGGACTCCCCACG